ATATATGCGCTAATACAAATCGTCTACACATGGATCTGTTCCAGTTTGTGATAGAAGAACACGCAGGAATTCAGTCCGGTTTTGCGTACCAATAAATAGAATTGAGTGTCTAATACTCGTAGATCAAAACGACACACATCCGTTTTTATTCATCCGGTTCTGAATTCAAATTCCTCCCAAACTTTCAACTCCTAGTTTTCAATATTCAATTCCTAATTTTTAAGTTCCGATCTCAATTTTAGATCATCGGAATTGAGTGTCTGGTTTCGTGCCTGTCGTCGCTGGTGGAGTGGATGGATGTAGCGCTACTTAAAACGGTGACGATACCAAACTCGCCGAGACCGCCTAAATCAGACAACGTTTCCGTAATAACGTAAGTTGTACAATACAGTGTAAATATATATATATATATATATATCTACATATGTATATACGTATCGATGTGTGTGTGTGATTGTGCTACATATAAATGTATATATGCTGCTTCTACTTGTATGGATCTATACGTATAATACGTATACACACATATCGATGAAGTCCCCGGGTTTGGAAATTGCCTTGTCCAACCACGACGTGTAATTTTTTTTGTAAATGTGTTCTGGACGCCAATTAGTTTAATACATTAGCTTAGATTGTGGTGTCTATTTAATTTCAGTTATAATTCAATCCATCAACCGAATCGATTTTACATTCCTCGGATGTTGAAGGCACACCGGGCAGGGGTGAGGGGTTCTGTTTTTATACATGCACGTTCAACCCAGCATCAGCCACTCACACATCCAACAATGTAGTCGAAACATGTATATTCCTTGCCTCCCGGCTTAAACGTTGAAATTTTACTCGTGACTTTACTGTTCAAATTTATCTTTAAATCTGCTCGTTATTTTTAAATCGTGTCTTTAGGATTGAAATCACACAGCTTGATATTGACGATACGCAGAGGAGGGGTGCTTCTCCTATCAACCCACCACATAGCCCCACAATATCTTCACACACACCCGACAATGCAGACTGGACTGCCGACCGAGGCGATAGGGACGAGTTTGTGGAGGTACATATATATATATATGTATGTAAGTATGTATGTATGTTTATGTTATGTTTATAATATCCGAAATCAAGTGCTAGTTAACGTTAGAATTCTTTTAATTGAAGAATGATATGATGTTGGTAAACATTGGATGTGAGGATTAGGGCCCTAGTATATATTCACATTTTCATACACACAAATATATACTATAGCCCTAATCTTCACATCCAATGTTTACCAACTTCATGTCATTCTTTAATTAAGAGAATCCTAACGTTAGCTAGCACTTGATTTCGGATCTCACAGGTATGTTTATGTTCATGTTCATGTTGTTCATGTTGTTCATGTTTATATTTATATATATATATTTATATATATATATATGTATGTATGTATGTATGTATGTATGTATATATATATATATATATATATATATATTAAATATATGTATATATATATGTATGTGTATAGTGTGTGTGGGTTATGTTTTTTATGCATTCGTGTATGGATTGATGTATTTATGTATATATGTATATATGTGTATATAATTAACGTCATTATGAGTATATACATGTGCTGAATGTTGCGTTTGTTGTCCGTATTGTATGCTACTATATTTTTGTAGGTTCTTTTCTATCCGTGTATGGATTTATATTGTATCTATTTACCTGAATATGTTTACCTTTCGTATTCAGTAAGAACCTTTTTCCATCGCAATCGAATGACTTTTTACAATATTTTGTCATGCACACACTTTTTTTTCCCCGAACGAGTTCATACCAATTCTAAATAGGATTGAAAAAATTGTAAAATTGTTCACAAATTTCTTGAAAGCTGGTCACTCACCCGCATATGTACACATGCATATAAAAAATTATCTGATTTACATATCATTTGTACCTACTTTGTTAGTGATACATACACTTATAAATAATTGGTTCGCATATATTTGTACCTGCATAGGTAGTGATAAATTACCAATAAAAATATTTCATACTCGCACTTACGTGCCTGCATAGTTAGTGGTACATCAACGAGTATATGATGTATAAATCAGAAACGGATACATGATATATAAACGGATTTGAGGTATACATCAAGGAGAATATGATATATAAAACAGGAATGTGCTATAGAAGGGTATATTGTTTATAGAGGAATAGGTTTACATAAACCGCCTGCTTATATCTATAGAAGAATATATAGTTTATAAACGGATATATCTTCATAAACCGCATTCCTATATCGTTCTCGAATCCCGTCACAGGCACGCAAGAGGAAAGCTGAAATTCTAGCCATCCTGTCCAAATTCAAAGATAAACCCAAAAAAGGGCTCTTGCTGGCCCAAAAATCAGGAGTTGTGGGCCAAAAGCCGATTGAGGTGGCCGAGTGGTTCCAGAGCGAGGACAGATTGAACAAGGCTGCGTTGGGTGAATATCTGGGTGACCCTGATCCGTTTAATCTAGAAGTGATGTACGCCTATGTGGATGGGTATGTCTGGCAAGGGTTTGGCGTTCATCAGTGTTGAGGGTGTGTTGCCTTTGTATGTGGGGTTCCTTCAGATGTTCACTGATGAAGTGATAAAACTTGCCAACGTATGGTATACTAAACCCCTAAACCCTAAACCCTAAACCCTAAACCCTGAACCCTGAACACCTTAATCTCCCTTCTGTATCAGCCTGAATTTCACCGGCAAGCACTTTGTGGATGCGTTGCGGTTATTCCTGGATGGCTTCCGATTACCCGGCGAGGCCCAGAAGATCGACCGATTGATGGAGAAGTTTGCGGCACGCTACTGCGAATGCAACCCAACCACACAGGAGGACAATGTGTTTGAGAACGCAGATACGGCTTATGTACTGGCGTATAGTATTATCATGCTCACCAGTGATCTGCACAACACAAACGTAAGTGTGGCTG